GCTCAACTTGAGGTTTCACAATCTGATGGGCGATTTCAAAGTGGTTATATCCAGCTTTTATTTACAGTCTGTGGTTGGATTCATACTAACACCTCTAGCTGGAGACCTGATGGCTTGGTTAAGCATTAACATCATTAAATTTGCTCTCAGTTTTTCATACCTGAGAAGTATAAGATATTTAAGATGAATAGTAACAAAGGCAGAAGAAGTATACTTGCTCGACAGTAATATAGCACACAAGTGCTTGTGGTTTCGCCGCCTGTACTCACTTCAGGTTTTCTTGTGGTTTAAAAGAAAAAAAAATCCCCTTTCTGGCACAACTGACTGAATACTGACAAAGCCAAAAAAGCAGTGCAGATCCAGTGATGAAGATTGTGCTTTTGCCAGTGTCTGTTTATATTTTAGATGATAGAAGTTTAGTCCTTGCCTGTGGAGACAAGGACTATTTTTGAAGTGAGTTTGATTCGGCCTTATCCAGAGTCGATTTAAGCAGAACCACAGGGTGATTGTTTGTGGTAACTTTATGATTTTTACCGCTTTCTCTCTTTTTTTCTTCTTCTGGTTGTTTTTTATTTTTATAAAGAAAAATTCCCACCCAAAGTTGTTCCCAGGGGACATTGTGGAGTATCCCAGGAACAAATACTTCTCTCATTTCGGAGTGTACTATGGAGAAAGGGACGGAGTTCCATACGTCGCTCACCTAACGTGTCGAGGTTGGTGACACTTTTTAAGGTTTTACCTTTCCACAGACAAGTGAAAAAAATCTGCCAGAGCAGGAATAATTTCTTGAATTTTGGTTAAAAGAAATACAATTATTTTATAGAAAAGAGTGTTAAACAATGAACATCAGCAAGAGGTTATTATGTTAGTCTCAAATTCTGCAAAAATGTAAAACTGTCAATAAGAAATTTTTCATCTTTGAAAGATGGACATAATGTGAGAACGCAGGATTTATGCTTTGTATGTGATGATATCTATTGAGAAGAGATGGACGACATGTACACCTACAAGAATCAGCTCAGTTTTCCATATAACACAGAAAAAAAAGGTTTCCTATCAGCTCATGTAACAAAGATCATAATATGACAGATAAACTTTATTTTTCTTGATCCTTCCTCTGGAAATCTGCCTCTTAAAATAATTTGATTTCTTGTCTTTGTCAGATTCAGACACCAAACTGCTGCTGTACGGCCGAGCTCTCAGGTCAGAGGTCAAACTGGACCCTCTGGAGCTTTTGGGGAAGAAATACAAGGTAGCATGAGTGGGTTAAACATATATGATGAGTTTGTTAAAGACAGTGACTTCAAGTGTGTTTTAAAACAGGTCAACAACATGCTGGATGACACGCACCCTCCGCGGGACTTCCACGGTGTGGTGAAGCCCGCCATCGAGGACATGATGGGCCGCGAGGTGACCTTTGACATCCTGTTTCACAACAGCGAGCATCAGGCGACACTTTTTAGATACGGAGTGAAGAAGTCTGAACAGGTAAGCCAAGGGAAGAGCGCCACCTTCTGTTTATTTGCTGTGAAGCATGCTTAAAGCTGGTGTGTTTGTGTGTGCGTGCTGCAGATTGATGAGATCTACAAGTATATCATGCCAGCCTGGAAGAAACTGTTCAAGGAGAAACAGCTGTAAACCAGGTGTGCGCTCATCTTCACCACCAGGGGGTGCTGTTCTTCTCTGAATCAGCTGCATGAAGTTTGGAGGACGTTTAAAAAGAATCCTTCTCCTCGGTTTCTACCTTTACCTTAGTCCCTTTTTACACCTCCTTTCTTCCATTCTGCTTCTCCTTATTCCTCACATCCTCCCTTTTTTTCTGTCATCATTCCTTCCCTAATTTACTTACTTTCCCACCACCTTTCCTTGTTATCATATCCTCACTTCTATTTCTTTACATTTCTTCCTTCCTGTTTCCTTATTCTTCTTCTACCCCTTCCTTCCTGCCATCATTTCTTCATTTATCCCATCCCTTAATTCCTCCCTTTCCTTCACATTACCTCTTTATTTACCTTTCCATTATCCTTATATCCCTCATTCATTTCCTTTCTAAACCCCTCCCCCCACCCATTAGTTTTGTTCTTGATTTCCTGAATAATTATCATTATTTGTATTTGTATTTTTTTTTACTAATATTATATTATTTGTTAAATGTGTTCATGTATATGCACTGATTTTTAAAATCTCAATTTCATTTACAGGGGAAAAAAAAGAAGTACTTGTGCAAGAAAAAAAAAGCAATTATCAAACTGAAAACAAAGCAAAAACAACAACCATAAAACAGATACATTAGGATTTTAAGATGACCTTAAAAGTGTTTAATAATGGCACTTTCGTTCTCCAAAATAAAGA